CGTGGACCACAGTATACAACACTCCATGTACGCCTCCTTTCAACCATAGACTATAGTCTACTCCGAGAAGTGGAGATTGTGGGATATCTCTGGACACATCCTTAACCCTAGCAATCGTTATCTGCGTTTGCTTTCTGCATGTTCTTGCATCACCCCGTGCCGCGGTGCTAACTTTTCCCCACTCCGGAGGGACGCCTCGTATCAATCAGCTACGACGTGTGTCGGCCTTTATCATGCAGTTGCGTGTGATTGAACGTGTGCATCTATTGCTGCGGATACTGCCGCCGCTGCGAATAACAGCGTGTGTGTGGATACATGCGTGCTTGATGATACAATATAGCCGAAGCTGCGCTACCCCTATCTGACCTGCGGTAGGTCTACAAGTACGGCAGACGCGTGCTGCGCGTCTATGTTCCGTGCTTTCTATCAGTTGCGGCGCGTGTAGGCCTTAATCATGAATCAAAATCATCGAGCTGCAGCAGTACTTAAAAGTACCTGTTGTATTTGTTCCCGTGCTATCTGACACTGTAGAAAGGAAAATGTGTCACGCCACCACGAACACCCTGCAAGTATATGGATAGCATGATTGGCGGAACAGAATACAAACATGCAGAGACCATGCCACTATATCGCAAAGCTCGCATGCTTCCGTAGCGCGTATTGGCGAGATAATCATGGGGCACGTCCGCAACGACGAAGGGAAATACTACCAGCACACGTCGCTACAAGTCAAGATGGCGATGGGGTAACCCCTCCTGTTGCGGGTTGTATGCATAGAGTATGCCCTCGACTGCTGCCCATTCAACACCAGCAATCGAAAATCAATATAATCAGCGAACTATTGCGCCTTGAAATTGTTTCTCCCGAAACAATATGGTATATACATACAGTCTACCGTGAGTTCCGCCGCCAACCCCAAAGCGCCCGCTAGTCATCTAGCGCAAAACGATAATAGTTGCACCGCATGCCACGACTGTTGTCGCCTTTCCTGCTCTGATTTACTTGTGATGGTGCGGTGTACGTTTGGCGTACCTCCCTTATCATGCTATCATGCTTCATCATGTTACATAAATACTCACAGAATGGCGGTCGTGTCGTGACCCAATTCGAGGTTTAAGGAATGGGAAACAAACAAAATGGTTAGTCAACACACAAATTCGGACTGGGGCTCCAAATTTTTCCATTTACGGGCGCAGACAGACATAGAATTAAAAAAATTTCCTGGAAACATGCTGCAGGAAGCTGCATTTGCATTTAAGCGGCTTCATATGATTGGCTGAGAGGCAACAGTAGTTCTCCTCTCCCACCGAACGAACTTCCCCTGACCGCAGTTGGTGCTGCTTTATTGTCGAGCGCTGCGTGACAGCTGCACCCTGCTGACACCGCTCTCTCTCACTGCTCTGCTGTTGAGTGTGCGTGCATGCAATGCGTGTGCGTGTCTTCTGTGCCGCCCCCCAAACGAAATCGCACTAGGACGTAGGTAGGGGAGAGGGAGTGATTGTACTAGCCGGCAGCCTCGGCACGAATTGCATTGTCGTATTTCAAGCGTTCGGGAGATAAGACGTTGTTATTGGAACGGGGGCACATCAAGTCAAACTCTCTCTCTCCATGCTAGCAGAGACCAGCAGAGAATAATCTTCCGCGGGAAGGACGCGCGCGTCAACACCGGGAGGCCAAGTGCGTGCTCTTCTTCCTGTCTGTGTGCTCCTCTTTGATGGCGGTGCTTCCACCACCACCATTACGTCATCGGTTGTCGCTGTTTCCGCGGTTCCGGCGCTCGCGCTCCTCTTCCCCCTCGCCTCAACCTGTGTGTAACGGGCAGCTGTTGCTGACCGAAAGTCGCGCAAACAAGCCCAACTTGGCTTTCTGACCGTGAAGCCTCCCTCTTGTTGGTGCCGCGCCAACTCCAGGGCCTTTTGGCTGGGCGCTGGCCTCTTCTTTGGCCTCTAGGACTGCTGTGTGTGCGTGGGTGTGGTGCCTGATATGGTAAATCGAAGAATACTGCCGAGTCAGAAAATCGTCAAACCAATTCCACATAGCGAGCCTCCCTCCGCTGTTAAATTTGAATATTTTTTCTTTATCTTGGGTTTTGGTGAGACTGTCAGGAACGATCCTCAGAATGATGGCTTAAATCAAAATGTATTTGCTCAGTTCGGAATATTTTTGAGTCCGAAAGAATGTAATACTCCGAGAAATTGTGTTTAGAGTGTCGTGGATACGACCGAAAACTTGCGCATCTTCATGGAATTCCTCCTGCGACGGGACGAAGGGCACTTCCATGCGACGCCACCGGGCCAAGTGACACGCAGGGACTGTGGACCAGTCTTATCAAAGGCACCCACCCGCAGTCATGAACGAACGTGTTTTCTTAGTTGTATTGTTTCGGATACATGCGGTCAATGCACCCACCCCCGAAACAGACAAGCAATTGACGCGTACACATGCTGTGTCGGCCAAGTGCGTCCAAATGCATCGTACGCACGAGGCGTCGGAAACGATTCTTGAAATTAGACTACTTGCCTTGATAGCAGCATGTAAAACGCGGAGATCAAGAAGTGCACGTCCGCACGGCAGCACCAGCAGCACCAAGTACAGCGGTAGTAGGTGATTGATGATGGATCAGAGGCTTTTTTGTTCACGCCGTCAAACAGCAGTCAAACTCGTTCCTCCCGCGTTGCTACAATACACAGCAGAGAGTCCTGTCCTGCATGCATCACATGTAAAGTTGCAATGGTAACCTCCGTGTGATGGTTTAGGCCCCAACCACATTCATTTATCAAACTGCGTCTGCTTCTCTGTTTCCGTACCTTGGAATATGTGTTTCTACAGCAGCATCCAAATAACGATCATATCCACATTACATACGACCCTCTTCCGCTGTATCCATCTCAGCAAACAATCCCACCACAGCGAGAGAGACCGGTACACACACGACAATGAGCAGTGTCCAAAAGAGCGTGTGGCACCGGACTGTCGGTGCGGGCCCCACCATCCATGACAGACACGCGACCTTGCGTCAAGCTGTGCCATGGGTTTGTTGCTGCTGCAGAACTATCCACGAACCACCTTGATTCGCCGAGGTCTCCCTCCCAAGTTGTTGTCCTGCTGTCCATGTATGTATGTCCACAAATATTTCGTTCTTTCGGTGGAAACTTTAGAGATTACGATTCCGGTGGAATATTGTACTAGGATTCGAAAAAACACCGGCGACACTTGTCGTGCCATGATGTATTACATATTTAAAGTGTAGGGAAAAATATACCAGTACAAGAGCTCAAGACGCGGGGGACTACCACCCCCCCCGTCCTTCGATTGCGCCGCCGCTCTCCCTGTGAGGTGGGCACGAACGTTATTGGGAATGTCATATTAGTGTGCACTGCCGCCCTCAGTGGTCTGTGGTGTTGAGACTGGTGCTATGTTATCCCAGGAACAGCAGATGAAATAGAACCATGTACTAGATATATCCGTCCCGCAAGCCCCCCAGGCAAGCTGATCATCAACACGCAAGCCCCTCAGTCAATTGCCGGGAGCACACTGCCGTGTGCTCACCCGCAGGCCCCGCACGTGGACCTCAACCGCATACATACCCATCACACACATAGTTCCCATACGCGGATCCGCCACAGAAGATGCACAGATCGGACTCATACCCAAGTACCACAAACAGCCCCCCTACTTGATACGATGTACGATCTTGCGACCCTTCACGCGTAGTCAGCCAACACAGAAAAACACCTCTTGACAAAACATATTCAACAAAACTGGCGACGCATTCAACACAAAGCGTTTCTATCAGAAAATAATCTCAAACCGTTGGCACGAAAGAATTATTTTCAGAAGAGTACCGAAAAATATTATTTGGGCACTTGTGGAAAAAACTTCAAAAGAGTGGGCACCAAATCCTCTTACAAAACAAAACAAAACTCAACTTCTTGACAAATCAAAACGAGTATTCGGAAGGCACATCAACAATCCCATTCATTAATCGTCAAAATTNCCTCTTACAAAACAAAACAAAACTCAACTTCTTGACAAATCAAAACGAGTTTTCGGAAGGCACATCAACAATCCCATTCATTAATCGTCAAAATTTGTCAAATCCTTCCTCCAATACAATGTCCAAGGACCAAATCCTAAACAGCGCGCACTCGCTAAGCGGTACCGTTGCTTATGTCCAAGAAACGACAGAAAACATGAGCAGGCATCCACGCAACTAGCCCCCCTGCTGTCAGCTCCCAAAGTTCGCCCCGAGCCAATATCTCCATGCCAACAGCCCCCTTGCTTTACCGTTCACCTAACAAACAAGTGGGCGCGACCAGAAAAGAAACCAATTCGATTGCTGCTCATGCCCTCTAGAAATATGGTCATGCATGACATCATGACATCCCCCCATGGTTTTGGATGCAGGAGCAGCAAAACATGCGATACAAACGAAAAACAAAGAAAACACGCAACACACAGGGCATCAAACTCCAGAAAAAGTTCGTATCGCATGCAAACTGTCTCAACTGGAACTCCAAAAGCCCCACTGCTCCCTGATCGGCATGCCTTCATGCATGTCAACCAACGCGCTATTATCCCATTTCGTGCGCGCGGCCAGAAACACACCGCAGAGAGCGACCACTTAACTCAGGACCTCACACATAAACCAAAGTATTGGAACATTCCAGTTCTTAGAAAAAAAACGCGACTGAACGTACTCCCTCCCAAGAACACGGAAATAGTACGAAGCATTCAGCTGCAAGGTATAACGCGATTGAAAATATACCAAGAACCTAGGGCAAAACAATACTACCCACGTGCTGCTTCCTATTCCACAGGTTGTGGCAATGATCATCTTGTCGCAGCGTACAATTAATTATTATTGTCATGGAACATACAAAAGAAAAAAAAAAACGCACACGCCGTGGCACACACGTGTTTTATGTATCAAAGTGCACGGTGCGCTGGCAAGGGAAAAACAGAACGCACAAAAATAAATGCGAAGCCAAAAAACGAGGCTAAAACGTATATGCCTGCTCACAAAACCGGAAAAAGTCGTAAACGTGTCATATGTTCTCCCACTTGGCTGTAATAAGGTGAGGTCGTCGCTGTCACCTTGTCCTCCCCGTTCCCGGTCGACTCAAGGGCGCTACCGCTGCTGCCGCCGCTGCCATCGCCGCCGTTGCCGTTCCCCGCCGCCACGACCGTCACGAGTTCAGGCGCATCACGGCTTCCGGTGACGTCGCTACTGCCGCCTCTACTACCGCCGCCGTTGTCGCCGCTGCCGCCGACGAGGCTCTCGCCGAAGCCGCCGCTGCCGCCTGCTGCTGCCGTCGGAGCTCTGGCCGAAGCAGCCACTCCCGTCGCTTCTCCTGCTGCAGCCGGTGTCGCCGCCGGAGCTCTGGCCGAAGCCGCCACTCCCGTCGCTGTTGCGTCGCTGTTGCAGCTGCCGCTGTTGCCGACGTTGCCGCCGCCGGAGCTGCCACTCCCGTTCCTGCCCCTATCGAAGGGGTACGCCGACCCTGGTACTGCCCCCCGTCTCCTAGCGCCACACGATAATGTCGTACCGGGGTCGAACGGGTGCATCGGGGCTCCACTCCAGGTTTGATCCAACCCCTTTCCCCGCTCCCATCGCCGCCGCTGTCCTCGCTGCTGCAGTTGCTGCTACTGCTACTGCTTATGCTGCTGTTGCTCACGTCCCCCCGAGCATATGGACTATCAAGCTCCTCGAGGACTGGCAATGGCATGATTGTCGCCGCACCAACCGCTTCCTCCAAGTCTTCGTCACATACCTCCGTCACCAGTGCCGCCGCCGCCGCCCCTGCAGCCGTCTGGACACCCGACGCCAATGCGAAGACCGGGGACGCCGCTGCTGTTGTCGCCGTTGCCGTAACCCCCATCACCGATGTCGCTACCGCCGCCGCTGCGGCCGTCTGGAAACCCGAAGCCAACGCGGCGACCGGGGACTCCGCTGCTGCTGACGCCGCTGCCGTTACCCCCGTCACCGCCGTCAACACTGCCGCCTCTGCGGCCGTCTGTACACCCAACGCCAACGCGGCGACCGCGGACGCCGCCGCCGCCGATGCTGCTGTCGGAGACGGAGCTCTGACCGAAGCCGTCCGCACCACCTCCGCTCCCGCCGATGCTGCTGTCGGTGACGGCGCTCTGGCCGAACGCGTCCGCGCCGCCGCCGCTCCTGCCGATGCTACCGCCGCCGCCGCCGTCAACACTGCCGCCTCTGCGGCCGTCTGTACACCCAACGCCAACGCGGCGACCGCGGACGCCGCCGCCGCCGATGCTGCTGTCGGAGACGGAGCTCTGACCGAAACCGTCCGCACCACCTCCGCTCCCGCCGATGCTGCTGTCGGAGACGGAGCTCTGACCGAAACCGTCCGCACCACCTCCGCTCCCGCCGATGCTGCTGTCGGTGACGGCGCTCTGACCGAAACCGTCCGCACCACCTCCGCTCCCGCCGATGCTGCTGTCGGTGACGGCGCTCTGGCCAAACCCGTCCGCGCCGCCGCCGCTCCTGCCGATGCTACCGCCGCCGCCGCCGCTGCGGCCGTCTGTATACCCATTGCCGACGCGTCGACCGGAGACGCCGCTGCTGCTATTGCCGCTTCCGACGAATGCTTGGGTTGTTGTGATTCCGCGGACGGCGAAAATACAACAACGGGATACGATCTAAGCATGTGTTCCTCCCTTACACGTCTACTGCTGTATCCGCCCTCCATGAGATTCAGCTCATCGCGTTGCCGTACTACTGCAGGTGCTACACGTGATGTCGCGGGCAGCTGGGGAGAGCGAGTGGCGGAGTGTGTGTTTACGTTGAGAGAAGCTACGCTGGCGGGGGCTTTTACCGGCAAATACGGTGCAGACGAACCGTTAGCAGCCCCCCCCCCCTTCTCACCAACGAACACCCAACCACGCACCTGTCCACCTGCACCGCCGGTGAAGCCGTCCGCTAGCTGTTGTTGCCGCGACTGTTGCTGAGTGTCACCGCCGTACACCCCGCCTGGCTGCTGCTGCTGGTGCTGCCGACACACAGACACGTCGCCAAACTCGCCGTTCGTCCGCTGCTGCTGGAACGGTCCGCGGGCGAAAGTTGGAGCTGTACCAGGAACGCCGTTGCAAGACCGTAGAAGTTCTGCTGTTGACGAGGCTGCTGCTGTAGCATGGGCTGCTGCTGCACCGATGGCTGTGGCTCGAACCTCTGCTGCACGCACGGTTGTTGCCGCTGCTGCTGAAAAGAACACCCTCTGCCAAACACGCCGTACAACGGTTGCTGTACGGGAACACCTACGCAGGAGTGCTGTAGACCATGCTGCTGTTGTGACGACAAAAACCTCCCCAACAGTCCCGCCGAAAATTTCCACCGCCGACATGAAGAGCGTGGGGGTCACCGGTCGGCGCTGCCGTCCGCCGCGCAACATTCTTGAGGTCCTTCTCGGCGCGCAGGCTACGCACAAGATTCTCCAAATCCTTGCGCGTGAGCGATCTGTTGGTCATAATGAGAATGTAGACCTGTTCGTAGTCGGCGGAGAGGTTCCTTCGAAGCATCGCGAGGACTTCTCTATCCGTGATCGCATCGCCGTTGACGGCGCGGAGAGTAGACAACACTCCGTCGAACCTGAGAAAGTACTCCTATGGGTCCTCTCCAAGCTGCATCTTCATGTTCGTGAGAGACAGCTTCAGTGCTTCCTGCTCGGAGTCACTCATGGGCAGGCAGCACTGTTGTGCAGCCTCCCACGCCCCAGACACAGTCCAAACGGCAAGGATTCTAGCNGGGTCCTCTCCAAGCTGCATCTTCATGTTCGTGAGAGACAGCTTCAGTGCTTCCTGCTCGGAGTCACTCNATCGCATCGCCGTTGACGGCGCGGAGAGTAGACAACACTCCGTCGAACCTGAGAAAGTACTCCTATGGGTCCTCTCCAAGCTGCATCTTCATGTTCGTGAGAGACAGCTTCAGTGCTTCCTGCTCGGAGTCACTCATGGGCAGGCAGCACTGTTGTGCAGCCTCCCACGCCCCAGACACAGTCCAAACGGCAAGGATTCTAGCCTGAAAGTTTGCCCCGTTCGTGGCGCGCATCAAGTACTCAAACGCATACTCATGATCGCGAACGGGACGCTCACCGTGCAAGCGGACGTTTTCGCTCCTTGGCAGCCTGTTGAGGAGTCAGATGCGTTGGTCTGGACTCGCCGACTTGGTGAGTGTGTGTGATAGATCTTCGCGGGCGAGGAAGAGCTCGAACAGCGACTTGAACAGTGAGAAGTTACCGTCGTACACCGGTGGCTTCCGGTCCTTCCGCACGTAATCGCAGTCACGCTGCTGCTGCTCCCGATCATCAAAAAAACCAGCCGTCCCCCCGGCTCCAAAAGTAGCCGCCCCTCCGGCAGCTCCATCCCTGCTATGGTACCCAGGCGCATAGCCAGCGCCGCTTATCCTATTGTTACCTGCCGCATACCCGGCATCACCCACCGTATCTCTAGTAGCGTCCTCCGCTAAACTCCTCTCCTCTGCTTCCTCAACTCTCCCCTGCAGATCCGCCATCTTAGCTGCCGCGGCTGCCGCTTCCCCCGCTACACACTCGGCTGCACTTTCGACTTCCTGCTTCATCTTCTTCATTTCTCTTTCTTATTCTTTCCCTCGTGCTTTCGTCATCGCCGAACCAACACCTGGCCTAGCTAGGCTCCACTCGATATCGTCTTAGTGTGCCCTGCTGCCCTCAGCGGTCTGTGGTGTTGAGACTGGGTGCTATGTTATCCCAGGAACAGGAGATGAAAAAGGACCATGTATTATATACATCTGTCACGCAAGCCCCTCAGGCAAATGCCGGGAGCACACCGCCGTGTGCTCACCCGGAGGCCCCGCACTTGGACCTCGACCGCACACATATCCATCACACACATAGTTCGCATACGCGTATCCGCCACAGAGGATGCACAGATCGGACTCATATCCAAGTACCACAAAGACGCCAAATGAATATAATAGCAAGTGGGACGCTCCTTCCTGGCTGTGAAAAGATATGAATATCTGCCGCAGACAGACAGGCATAGATAGAGTTGAAATCTCACAGGAAATTGGTGCGATGATGAGATTGACGCGTTCTCGCGAAAAACCACNCATCGCCGAACCAACACCTGGCCTAGCTAGGCTCCACTCGATATCGTCTTAGTGTGCCCTGCTGCCCTCAGCGGTCTGTGGTGTTGAGACTGGGTGCTATGTTATCCCAGGAACAGGAGATGAAAAAGGACCATGTATTATATACATCTGTCACGCAAGCCCCTCAGGCAAATGCCGGGAGCACACCGCCGTGTGCTCACCCGGAGGCCCCGCACTTGGACCTCGACCGCACACATATCCATCACACACATAGTTCGCATACGCGTATCCGCCACAGAGGATGCACAGATCGGACTCATATCCAAGTACCACAAAGACGCCAAATGAATATAATAGCAAGTGGGACGCTCCTTCCTGGCTGTGAAAAGATATGAATATCTGCCGCAGACAGACAGGCATAGATGGAGTTGAAATCTCACAGGAAATTGGTGCGATAATGAGATTGACGCGTTCTCGCGAAAAACCACCGATGATGGAACGAAGAGTTAACAGAAAGGTATTCTCATCGTGGAGGACACCCCGGCCGCAGACGTGCGTGCGACGATGCCGAGCTCGGCGCATTTCTCGACGAGACGAACGGATCAGTGCTCAGCATCCGCATGGGGCGTGAAATTGCTGGCAATGTTCTCGGGCTTAGCGCTTCGTGTGGTGTTTGTTTGGAGTGGGAGGGAGAAGGTTGCTTGTACGTAGCGTTCGGCATAAGTCCAAAGGCAGTCTATCTCGTGAAGCGGCGGCACTTTTCTTTTGTCACGGTGTGATATCAAGGCAAGCATCATACGCCTGCAGTTCGATAAGCGTACCTTGGACGTGATACACACAACGCAGAGTTTTTTTGCGTGTCGCCGGGGGAAGGGGCACCCAAGCATGGAGGTGCTACGAACAAGAGGCAAGTAGGTTTGGTCGGAGCTCAATTTCGTTAAGTTGAGTCTCCGTATGCACAAGAATGTGGGCTTGACCAGGTACATCCAAGTTGCGTGAACCTGAAGGCAAAGGTTTCGATTTTCTGGTTGTGAAGGAATGGGTTTATGCTTTTTGTTTGGGTCATTTTTCTGCTACATATTCATAGATTGTGTGGTTCAGGATGCGTTCTGAGTTGGTTGTGCACGTCGTGACTACGTTTCGCAATGTCTAAAATGGTCGTCCAAGTTTGGGTTGTGAGCCCCAATTTTGTGGATTTTTATTGATGGATTGGGTTTTGGGATGCATCCTACTGTAAATGGTGTCGATAAGCGATTATTGTTTTTGTACTTGTAGGAGCACCAAATGCTGCTGCGAGGGACGCGTCAAGAAGATATATCAAAGCAACATTCAAAAGGAAAATCTCATTGTTCTCGGCGCCGTAAATGNCCCCAATTTTGTGGATTTTTATTGATGGATTGGGTTTTGGGATGCATCCTACTGTAAATGGTGTCGATAAGCGATTATTGTTTTTGTACTTGTAGGAGCACCAAATGCTGCTGCGAGGGACGCGTCAAGAAGATATATCAAAGCAACATTCAAAAGGAAAATCTCATTGTTCTCGGCGCCGTAAATGCAACTGCCATTGGCGCTACAGGGTTTTCCCAGGGTGTCTACCCCGCGAGGGTCCCTGATTGGCAGGGTAACCACAGGGTGTGGGATCGGTACCCTGACAGGGTACCGACCTTGCAGCCGGGTCAAGCCTGCAAGGTAGTCTTTAGGTTGACCTCGCCAGGGTGACATCTCCCCGCCCTGGCAGCGTAGCCGAATGGCTGCAGGCGTAAGTGCTACGGCGGGAGGTTGATATGTCGGCGGCGAAGTTCTAGGATGAAGTGCCCACGACGTGGGCACTTCATGGGACGTCCATGGGCGTGCCCACCGGTCACCCATAGGCAGCCCATTGGCCGCCCATGAACGGCCTATGAGGGGCGGCCAATGACGTGCCCATGGGCGGTTCATGGGTGACGCGTGAGTGTCTATTTGCAAACCTTAAGTATGTGGGAGATTGTGTGGGACGGACGAATGTACATTCTCAGCACACACAGGCATGTATGTGATAGCACCGGTATGACATGTTGGCTGCACCGTGTTATCCCATATGATCAGGACACGGGTCGCGTGGAAAGTGCCTCACAGGAAATACTGAGTCTTTGGCGTAGATGCGAAAATGTGTGTGAGCTCTTGATGCGAGGTAGGTGTGGTTGACAGAAATATGGGCGGGATCACACATACATACATGGTTGGGCGGCACGCAGGCCTCCAGCCCTGACACAAGCAGTGGGTATCTTTGGTACCGTCATGGCCCTGGATCATGGCCGGGACGTGGCCGAAACAAGGCCAACATCGTGACCCGGGCAATGGACCGGCAATGGACCATTCGATGACGGGATCACGATGTTCCTTCTCACTTTCACGAAAATGCCAGAATGAGAAAATGGATCAACGGCCGCGAAAGACGAACACACAGGCATGTCACAGCACCGGTATAACACACAGGCTGCCCTATTTCTTCTGAGATCATCATGATACTGGTCTAGTCAGGATCTTGTTGAGCATACCGTGTCTCGGGTGTTGACCCGAAGAGATGCGTGCGAGCTCTACACGGGCATTTATTTTCAACCACACTNCTTCTGAGATCATCATGATACTGGTCTAGTCAGGATCTTGTTGAGCATACGGGTCTCGGGTGTAGACCCGAAGAGATGCGTGCGTGAGCTCTACACGGGCATTTATTTTCAACCACACCTTTGTACCGCCTAAACTGGAAAAAGAGGCCCCTCTTCGTGCCATTATTGTACTAACAGGTATTCGAAAAACATCTGTGGGAAATTTGGACCACGCGTATCGTGAAGAACCCTCACACGCTACATGCGGACAACAGTCCAATTCACCAAGGTGTACAACGAGTCAGCGGTTAAATGCTAGCAGAAATGGTTGGCCAATGAAAACGTTTGCTTTCAATATAATTCAACATATCCCACAACTTTCCAACACACCAATTGAATTCACAAGAAGCACCGGCATTTTTTTTAATTTCGTCAGTGTGACCCCAACGAGTCCATCTCTATCGAAGAAAAGAGTCAAAGACACTGTAGATTGGAAATGAATCCATAGCGTCAGCGAAATGACTGTTTTCCACGATTTCTCAAGCAGCACACCGTAGTGATATCTTCCCCCTGGGTAACAGGGTTAAGAAGACAGTTTTGTAGCCGTCTCGTGTATCTATCTTTGTGCTACGCTGAAGTGGTGTGGAGGGAACAGGTTGGGTAGTTGGTTCATCGGGTGTGTGAATATGGGCATGGTGTGCATTTGACAAAGCCGGATATGTCAGGTTTTTGCCTACGTAGCAACGTGTCGTTGTTTCAATGTGTACGGGGTCACGCGAGAACATATTTACTCCTCCCGTGTTGTTCTGAGTCATGATGTCCATTGATGGGTTGGTATGGGTATAAAGTGGGTTTATAATGTAGATCGTAGAGGACGTACACAGTGGCAGGTAATGTGGTGAGCCGTAGCTCGTTCTTACTTGTAACAAGGTTTTCGTGTGATTGAGAGCGAAGTTTCTGATTGAGAGCGAGATTGCGCGATGCGCCGTAGCTGGACTACCGCTGAGAGGTGGAGCTTGCTGCGTGACTTGAATTGAAGGCCTGGCCCGTAGCTACAAGCCGATACCCTGGTCATCCTGTGGGCGTCTCTCGTTGTGGAGCTACAGCGGGGAGCAGAATCTACAGCAGAGCTCACCGCCCGCGATCAAATCGCCCTGAAACAGTTTGAGGCAGGAATAGACAATCTGGGGAAATCTAGCAACTTGTCTAGCTCCTAGCTGCAGCATCCGATCACGATGACACGCATATGCTCGTGACGCTGCTGATGAGACCTTCAATTTGCGCCGCTTCTTGGAAGAGCCCGCCCCCTACTTCCCAAGAAATGGCAAGAGGCTTCTGGACCCGAAATTTCAATTTTTTTGGCTCCCGCTCTCAATCGTATACTCCGCTCTCAATCAGGCGAAAACCCTGTTTTGTGCCGTTAGCAGGTAATGTGGTGGTGAGTTCAACAGCAGCATCAGTCCCCAAGAAAAACAATGAACAACGGATGATGATTTTTTTTTTCGAAACCGGGCCTCAACCTTGGGAACATTCGTTTGACAAACCGAAACAGTGGCATAGTCAAATGCAACATGCTTGTATCAACAATTGTTACCGTTTGCTGTGCTACATTCTGCACAGCACTAGCATCTAAAGCTCACACTTTCTCTTCATATCTACATCCGAGACTCTGCACGCTCAGACAGATCCTTACTACATCAGTGCCCTGATGATCTCAGATGAAACGGTGCCACGTGTAGGTCCTTCCAGTGCGGTCACATGCCTGTGTGTTCGTCGCACGAGGCCATTACTTTCTTTCTTCGTTATGTCTTGTGTCGGGGCTGGAGACCTCCATGCGACACAACGAAATGTGTGATGTGTACAACCACACTCAACTCGCATGTCTAGTACCAGAGCTTACGCATATTTTCGCATCTACACCAAACACTCAGAGTATCCAGAGAGATGCGCCCCACACCAGTGTCCTGATGATCTGGCAAACCACCGTGCAGCCAACGTGTCGTACCGTGCTGTCACGTGTTACCTGCTAGGTGCTGTGTATTCGGTCCCACACGGCCGTTCGCTTGTTGTCCGGCCTCTTCAATGGCGGCGCACCGCATGCAGCCCACAGCTGCTTCTGTACAAACACACATCCGAGAACATGTTCGAACTGTACAGCTTCACGTCCGGCGTTGCTCACCACGCTCTTCCCTGACACCGCCAAAGTTCTTCATCGCTCTGCTCCTCTCCTGACACCGCCAAGACATGGCTCGACTACTGGTTGCTGCATATGGGAGGCTATTTCCGAGGCGGTAGACATGCGACTCTCCAGGCATGAATGTAGGCCTGTTCTACGCTGTCTTCCGAAAACTCATCTGACTCACTCTCATGATGTTTTCTCAATGAACATGAAAAACTCTATCTTTGTTTTCGACCTGCCGGCGCTACTAGCGTAGGGTCTGAATGGTACACACCTCTGGGGTGAGATTTCCCGTGATGACCTTGGTGCTTCGAAAGCAACCTGATGCCTCGCGTGGCACTTGGGAGAGTAGATCGGTGGTGCTTTCAACAGCCTCTGCCTTGTAGATTATTAGGTCCATGTTGGTCAGCGTGTTGGAGTAACAAGTCGTTGGCCACTTTGACATTGCTGTCATGGCCAGAGCTGCATCACCATCGTGGATTGGCAGAACGATGGCCAACAGTGGTTCTTGAGTGTCAAGAATTCCATTGTTGAACCCTTGAAATTCAGAGGGGTGCCGCTTACATAACCACGTGATGACTCCGACCGAATAGGCGGCCACCATGATCAGTATTAGGATCGTTCGCCTCAACGCTGGTACCATGCCGCCGTTGCACTCGAAGGGCGCCACTTTTCGTCCGTCAAAACCCCCACCAGGGACGAAATTCGACGCGGTAGGGAATCGTCCCCCCTCTAGTTGATGCGCTCTGTTCCTTCGTGGTCCAGACCTCCAACCATACAACAGGCCCTAGGCAGACGTAAAGCGTGGGACGCAGGGGTGGCAAACATTTGGGGTGGTCTCAGAGCGTAAACTCCGCTGCAGCGGCAATCTGAATCCGGTGGCAAAAATNGGGTGGTCTCAGAGCGTAAACTCCGCTGCAGCGGCAATCTGAATCCGGTGACAAAAAAGAGCTAGCAAACGAGATGTTGACTGTGGAACAATGTACCTCCCGGTCACTGGAATATGACAGTCCTTGTACCCTGCGTTTAGAAAGATGCAGGATTCTGCCGAATGGTGCCTAAAGAGCGCGTGACTCAGAATCAAACTGCCGTGACACCCTTGGGGACGGTCGTAACCCGAAAAGAGAGGGTGTCAAAGTTGGGCTGACATGAGGGCTCTTGCTCTGCCGTCCATGCCGAACCCAAGCGGTTCGTACTGTATATATTACGGTAGGCCCGGAAACCTCCTACAGGTGGGGGGACATCACCCCGCCACCCCTCCTGTTCCGTACCCTGCACACTGAAATCGACCTAGTGAGTCCCTCGCGGGCGAACCAGGCCACAACAGATAGTAGGCGGGTGGTGTCCCAAGGTGCAACTCACCGGCGCGCCGGCTCAGTGTGGCGGTGAGGATGCACAGACGGTGGTAATGGCGAGAGGTGTGTATGGACACTGTTCCCGCGGCAATAATGCAAAGCGGCAAACTGCACCTGGCAACCACCGTCGCGGAAAGCGTGGCCCACGAAGCTGGAGGAGTAGAGAGATTCGTAAACACCACGTCAGTAAGCACCGCTCGCGGGAGAAGGGAGACAACCGCGGGCACCGCGGGGAGGGAGTGCTGCACCCTCCTCGTCAAAACACCACAGGCAAGAACCGAGCTCTGCAGAGATGGATTGATGCGAGGAAATTCGCCGCTCGGAAAATACGGAAGAAAGCACACTCACAACTCGAGGTGGACCGAGAGAGACACGAGACCGCAGCAGCCGTCAAGGCGGATGCGAAGAAGAAAGCACGAGAGGGCGACCCATCGTTCGGCACGTTCAACACACGCACGCTCCCCTACAGCGGAAGGAACCCCATCGGTTACAACGTGATGACGGTCATGCAGATTTGTTCCGCGACCGGCTGTGATGTGATAGGACTTCAGGAGACCCGACGAGAGGGGCAAGGTTCAATTGCACACGACGGGTACGTGATCATCTGGAGTGGCGCCCGTGCTGGCACCAAGGACAAGAGGGGCGTACACGGTGTGGGCATAGCGATCAAGGAGGCCATGTGGGAGAGTGTGGGCGAGGAAGGTAGGACGGTGGAGTGCATTAGCCCGAGGCTGATGAAGGTGCGTCTACAAATTGGCCGCACCTGCGGAGTAACTTTCGTGGTGGGGTACGCCCCCACGGAAACTGTCCGCACCACCGCGGGCGGTGATGTTAACGCCAAGGACTCCTTCTGGACTGCTCTCGACGCAGCGATCCGGGAGGTTCACAGCCGTGACCATCTCGTGGTGCTAATGGACGCCAACGCACGCACTGGTAGGAGGCGAGACGGGTGCTGCGATGCCAAGATTATGGGCGCGTACGGACGCGACATTATGAACAACAACGGGGAACGACTCCTTGGACTGGCGTCAGACAACCAACTCTCCCTGACCAACACCTACTTCCGGACACCGAAAGGTGGAGTGCAGCACACATTCCAGAGCTCCAACAAGGGAAAGGAGAAGTACCGCCTCGACTTCATCCTCATGCGTCAGACGGACCGGCGTTTCGTGCGTAATGTCTCGGTCAAACGTGTCGACTTCAAAGACTCTGACCACAACCTCGTGCTTACGACTGTCCGCCTCCCCCCCCGTGTCGCACCCAACCGACGAGTGCGGGGGAACAGCGGAAGCAGCCGGATCCGTATCGACCTCGAGCGGTTTAGGAAGGACAAACACCTACGGGTCGCCTTCCAAGACAGNTTACGACTGTCCGCCTCCCCCCCCGTGTCGCACCCAACCGACGAGTGCGGGGGAACAGCGGAAGCAGCCGGATCCGTATCGACCTCGAGCGGTTGAGGAAGGACAAACACCTACGGGACGCCTTCCAAAACAGGGCCTCCAGCCGCCCTCCGCCCACGGCGCTCAGGCGGCCAACGGGAGAGACCGCCGCCGAGCTGACGGCTACGGTGATGTCGGCCGCTGCTGAGACCGCGCCGCTGGCGAGGTGCGCACGAGGGCAGAGAGGCTGGTACACGAGCGAAGCGCAGCGCAAGATCTCCGAAGCGTCTAAGGAGATTAAGGCGGCGCAGCAGCAACTGCGTGGGGCCTCCAAGAACAGCGCCTGCGAGGCGACCCTGAAGGCGATGCTCAAGGCGGCGCGGAAGAAGCGCAGCATCGCGAGGTGGAGAGCACTAGAAACGTTCTTCGAGGGCTATGTACGGCAGCTCGAGAAGAAAAGCCCA